TAGTCCTGTGCTGTTGTTAGTAGGACACGGCAAGACTGAGTCTCTGAAACTGTCTCAGCATTCTCTCCTTTTTTTAATGGTTTTAGTCAGGAAATAATTTGAAAGAAGAGATGAGTGATGAGGGTCAACTGCTATGTTTTTTTTTCAGAGACAATACTGGTACAGATTATTAATAAACAAGTAGACTGATAACCAATATATGGGGCATTCATTTGCCAGTTTACAGTGTGGAAATCTATAAGAAGACAATTCCTACACAGAGCTTATGAGGGGTGGAATTAACAATAATGACAGTGGTGAAAATGGAATGACAAAAATGCATGTGAATTAAAAATTGTCTCAATAGACATTTGAGGTATAAAATGTTATTTGATGAAATGAGCTGTTTGGAAGTTGAATAAAACAGTAGTGATCTGATGAAAAATTAACCCTGTTGTATTATTATCACTAAAGTGGTTTTTGTATAAGGGTAGAAATAACAAATATTCCTTGACAAAAAAAAATCATGAAAATGTATGCAAATTGAAAACTAAAGTGCTATTTTATAAATGTTTTTGATAAAAAAAGAATTTGTTCTTTGAGTAAATTTTGATGTCTTGCAGCAGTTATAATTTAACTCGGTCTGTTTTTTTGTTACTTGGCTCGTTTATCGTTTGTTGTTGAGTAATATTTGTTACTTTGCTCATTTATCATTTAACTTTGAGCCATTTTTGTTACTTCCACCTCTCACGTGTAAATGTCAGTCAGAAGGTTCCGCCTGTCAGCTCTCAGTGAATCACGTGATGCTTCACTGCTGGTGTCTACTTGTGCTTAGTGATGCTTACTAGCCGTCTGCTTCTAAACTTTTCAGTATTTCGTAGTGCTCCTTTAGCGGAAGGCTTGGGAACCTTACAATGAGTGAAATTTTTCTGTATGTAGTTAGAATGTTCTGTGAGTGTCTGATGCAACTGCAGTAAAGCTATTTATGCTTTAAATCTGAATGCAAGTATATGCGCAACAAGTGTGCTGATTGGTTGTACTCAACACATCATACTTTGTATCTAGACTATTATGAGAGTCTAGACATTATGACATGGTGATATACTAGGAATAAAAACAAATTATTATTATTATTAATAACAGCAGCAGTTGTTTATTATTATTATTATTCAAATGTTTGTATTATTTTTTTGTATTATTTTTTACACTTTTTGTTCAGTTCATAAGAATTATTTAAACATTGTTTTTGGCCATTTGATTTGGCATTTTGGGCTTACTATGGTATTCATATTCATCCATATAATGCACGACCACTGGTATTCACTTTTATACCAGCGTGTCCCCCAAGTGATGGTGCTTTTTACTTGACAGAGTGACAGGCATTCAGTCATTTCCTATGAAAGTAGGCGACTTGTAGCTGTGATTTAGCAGTGCGACACTGTGACGGGGCGACAGGCGCCAAAATGAGTTGCAGTATTCTCAGCTCTATGCGAACAAAATGTGACGCAGTTACCAGTGGTGTCATGCAAACAAATGAAAGTGAAGCTTATAAACTTTTAAGTGTGGTTAGGTAAGATAATCCTTTATTAGTCCCACAATAGGGAAGTTCCCAGTGTTACAGCAGCAAAGGGGATAGCAAGGCACTCAAGAAAAGGAAAAGAAGTAACAAGAAGAGAAATTAACAAGTAATTAAACACTTTGCTAATTACTCAACAAGGTTTTTACAGTTAAAATTTTAAACAAAACCACTATACATATACAGTAGATTTTATTTGGTGCATTTTCTTGTCAGAAGCTGGACAGTATACATGCCTACATGCTACAACAAGAGTGACCTCGAACATGGCCACGAGAGAAAACTTGGACATTAGTGGCTTGATGCCTTCTATCCTCTATCGCCATGATCATTCAGTATGTCAAAGAGTAGTTGTACCCCCTGATAAAATACAGAAATTACACAAACCTTAAAGCATCACAACTCCAGTATGATTGGTGAGACAGTAAGCTGAATGCATCTCACTAATCATGCTGGTGTTTGATGATGATTTAAGAATTTTATGGCTGAAGAACAGTTTTATTGGGTTGTTGCTTTGGTAGTGAGTAAGTCAGTCTAGTCTAATGTCAGTTTAGCTTTTTTAGAATACCTGTTTTATTGTAAATTCAGCAGTAATTGTATGACTCCAACTGCTCCTCTCAGCACTCTTCCATTTCCCACTTGTTCAGTTTCATAAATCACTATTCTCATTTCTGTCATCAATTGCCTTGTATATGACTGAATGTTGTAAACTGTTTATTTCCTGATTTCTCCTAAGTGCTTTGTCAATAAGCTCGTTTTTATAAAAAAAAATCGATACACTCTTTGCGACATGATTTAGTGCAGTTTTTTTAATTTAACAGCCCTCTCCTCATGTGCTGGTGGAAGGTTATATGGTGGAGATTAATTATGGTGTGAAGAGGCTCAGGCAGTCCTTGCTTATTGCGACTGATAGATCGTCAGCACCTTAATGACCTTGCTGTCGACAAGCCCGTAATTTCATCACAGACGCAATTACAAATATGTGTTTGTTTCTCTGCAGTCATTTATAGTTAATTTAAAGCTTCTAAAGTCAGTCTGTCCAGATGTAAAAATACAAAATTTGACACCAGTTTGAGCTCTGTCACAAGCTCTTTTAAGTTTTTTTTATTCAATTTATGAGGAAATGCTCTCTAGACTTAACAGTAGTCTAATTTATGACTGTAGTAAGAGAGCCCTGAACATTATCCTGAACCTTACTCCTGTGAAGCCTAGTGAAGCTGGTCTGTGTTGTAGTATGGAACAAGGGTTGTTGCTCAGAAAGAGCAAATAAAATAGTCTAGTTTCTAGTTACTCTAATGAGTGCACATATAGAGGTGGACATATCCATACTTTTTCAGGTTAGATCCGATTCCAATGCACAGCTGTCGATACCGATACAGATTCCGATACAAGAGCTCTTTTCACTTTTATATTATCATCATTATTGTTGGTATTGTGTTTAAGTTTGTGTTTAAGGTGTTTAATCTTCCACTCACTACGCATATCTGTAATGGAGGCTGAAACTGAACTGCCGGTGTGTGACCCCCTGCACCTTTTCACCTGATGCACCACACTCTGTAGTGCACGTTTCTGAGTTTACCCAGTGTACATGAGACTTATGAGAGACACTGGGCTCACATCAGAGTTCCAAATATCAGTTGCGAAGCTCATGGCTTTAACATCCAGCTAACTGCGCGGCTAACGGTGATGACACTCGGTTGTAGAGTTCAGGAATAGCAGTCTCTAAAATGTGTTTTCTGGATCGGAGATCATACCTGGGCTCTAAGTGCTCCAACAGGCTTCGAATTCCAACATTTTCCACTACAGTGGTTGGTCATAGAATATAATGAAGTTGAGCAACTATTCTGTAATTTCATTTGGGTTTTGTGCTGGAAGTATATCGTGCTTGATTAAACTGGTTGTTTTGTATGACACAGCCGAACTTCCACCCCACATTACAAGTAGCGGTCTTGCTTTTCGCCGTTTCCAGACTAAAGTATCTCCAAACAAACAACATTTTAGTCAAACCAACAGCTAATGCTATTTGCTCACTCAGTTACACATTGAAGTTGCCACGGGTTCATGGTAAAATGTGGAATTGAATCTGGATCACTGATGTGTCCTATGTTACGATATGTTACTTTACGGCGGGTTTATGGTCCAGCGCAAGCTGCGGACTGGAATTCGGATCGATAAGTGAATCGGCCCTGTTAGTTGGATATCCGATGAGTGAATGACGTCATATTATCGGACCCGATACCGATATAGAATCTTATCGGCCCCATCTCTATTTACATAAGCAGATCTCAAAAACATATCGCTGCTGTCGGAAGAAAACCTTGTATCTCCATTTTTGCTGTTTTTCAGTTTTTGACATAATTTGAAACTACCTGTTGCTCTTTACATTGTGTGTAAATTTCATGATGAATGGACCAAAAGAAACGGCCCAAAATTACTTGGAAAAAACAACAGCTTCTTCCAACAACAGCGATATTTAATATTTTGATGACTAACTCTTTGTAGCCATAGAAACCTCAGAAACAGCTGTCTGGGGCTGTCACGATTAATTAATAGTTGGTGGATTGCATGATGGTAATGCATGTTTTAAACTGTCCTACTGCTCTCTTATGGTAAGAAACTGAGCCTGTTGAATACACCAATTTAGATACAGTCCTGTGCAAAACTCATAAACCACCCTGTAAGTTATACATTTTCAGGAGATTTTCTTAGGAGGTTGGATAACAGATAATCTACTTACGTAAGTAAGGCAAAAGTCAAAGCACTGGGTTAATTAAAAAAAAAAAAAATGTAACACCTGTGCAAGACCTAACAGACCAACTCTCACCATCAGACAAACAACACTTAAAGCTATTTTTTAGAGAGAGAGGAGAAAGTCAAGCTCCACTCTTGCTTCAGATCTGAAAAAATCCACAGGTGTTTCTGCCCATCCTTCCACTGTGAGAAGACACCTCAGTGCTTTGGGTCTGAAAGGATGTTTAGCTGTCAAGAAGCTGAAATAGACAAAAAGAAGAAGAAATTTAAATCAAACAAAGAAGCTGCTGGTGTTCTCAGAACAATAGACTGACTGTAACATCCAGACTTTAACATCACTGAATGTCTGTGGTCTTTGGTATTTGAGAAATGCAGAAAATTGTAATTACAGCCGTGCAGCACTGCCTTACTAATCTCTCATACTTTATGGAGGGTGGACATTAGTTAGCCTGAGATGACAAAGAAATTGGGACAATGTCTGTGAGAATTAATTCAGTTAAAAATGTATAAGGTGCATACTTTTTAATAAAAATACAAATGGTACTGTTCACAAAATGGAAAAATGTAAGTACAAGAAACCCTCATCAATATGGACACCTATGGAAATGAATAAAGCACATTTGAACTCTAATTGCTGTTGCCTTGTGGGCTTAATTCCTTCAGTGTGTGATAACTTCCATCTCCTTCATTGCAGGTTGTTAGGAGACTCCTTGGAGCACCTGTCCAGATGGACTAGCATAGAAGCCTAAACCAACATCAGAGGAGATGAGGGCTCCTAAGTGTATTCTCTTGTGAATGGAGCAGGGTAAGTATAAACCATATACTTTGGGCTGTGGGTTCTCCAGCCTGTAGTTATCTAATCCGCAAAGAAAAATAGTTTGTGCAAACAGCCTCAAGCCTAGCCCCAGAACCTCTTAATCTTTGTAGATTGTGGTAGATTTCCCTGAAGGAAAAAGCTGAAAAAGAAAGAAAGGAAAACCAAGACAGGGAAAAAAAATCCTCTGTTAATTAGTGCAGATCGGTGCTTTGTCAGGTTTTTCCTGCAAAAAACCATGGTGGCTGGAATGGTGTGGACCTATCCTAATCCTCATGCTCCCTGCAGGTCCAACATGTCATCTGCAGGAAACTATTATGAATCACCTCTCACCACTGGAGCTTTATCCTCAAGGCTCGTGCGTGTCGCATGGCCTTGAGTGGCTAAGAAACGTTTAGGTTGTGGTACCCCCTCCTAGGCCAAGCTCAGTTTCTCTCTCAGGTCTTAATACAGGCAGAAGTGAACTCCTGGGTTGGTAAATGGGGCATGGATCGTAATGGTTCCATCGGACAGTTTGTTTCTCTCTCGTCGCTCGTCTTCGGTTGATGAGAAATGTGTTTAATCCCTCCCAGGCCGTAATATCGTAAGCTTTTTGGTAATAACAGCTCTAATCCCCCGACTGCTGATGAATTGGATGAGGGGCATTAGCTTCAAAGCAATTTTCTCTGTCCGCCCCCTGCTTGAGGAGATATTAAAAACTGTTTCATTGTGCATTACTAATTTGAATTGACTTTTTTTGTTTGGCCTGTAAAAAATTTGTTTTGCGCCTTGTGACCATTTTACTTAGGAAAGTTTTTTTGGCATCACTGGGTTAATTAAAAGATAACCACACACTCTATAAATGTCTGCGGGATGCCCCACACACTGTAATTTCAAAACAGTAAAGTGGGGACATGGTCACTTGGTTTGCTGTAAAACTGAAGCAAGGCTTTAGGCTTATATATACAGCTTTAGAACTCAGCTGCTTTGAGTTCCAGAGTTTTATTGTGAGGCAGAATGGGATCTATTTGGTTATGTTGGGCTTTTTTGCTTGTTTGTCAACAGAAAGTCTTGTTTTAACTTTTAAGACTTCTAACATCCGTGATTCTCTGCTTTTTTTAAATGTATTTTTTTTGCTGATGTTTCCTTTGTAAGATCTGCTTGGGGGCAGGGAAGAGGGGGGCACCATCTTTCAAAAAGGGCTCAACAGCGATGGTTTTATTAATCCTGAGGATACTGTATTTCTTGAACGTTAAGGGTAAGACTTATTACCAGGCCTGTCCCTGTTATTACAGAGATGCCTGATCACAGTTATTTAAGCTGACCGTAGTTACTCTCTAAAGACTCTCTAAAGTTAGCTTTCACAGTCTTATTTACATCACAGCTGGTGGAATGTATCTATTCGTTGGGCTGGGACAAGTAAAAGAAAATTAAAGAAAGCAAAATCAACAAAAGTTCAAAGTGACCGGTACAATAACCTCTGTAAGAGGGCAACACTGAGTAATGTTTGTTTATTTGAGCTTGAGCTGTTTCTGTAGTCAGTTTGTAGCTACTAAGATAGAAATAAAGATAGCTAATTAGCCAATTTGGCAGGTCCATGATGAAAGACTTTCCAGGACAAATGTTGATCTATTGCATAATATAAAACAAGATGAGATTCTTATATTTAGGGTAGCTTGCTTTTACATTAATTCTGCCCTTAAAAATGTACACAGCTTGGGTGTCCAGGTCCCAGTGAAGTTGGCCTATTTATGCAGCTTTTATGGCCAAGTGTTGGTAGAACAGGTGTGTTCCACAGATTGTGTCAGCATAACCGACATGAGGCCAGTGTGGTGTCTGCTCAGGACGTTGCGCACTCAGCCCACCTGTCAGATATTCTGTGCAGCATAATGTGGCCCAGCCATCTTCTGGCAAAAGACTTAAATTAACCTGGTTTTAAATAGCCTTGAAGAGATAATGGATATTGAATATTGTGATAGGTGAGTGCTAATATAATGCATATTAACATTTTCATTCTTTCACTTATGTGATTTTGAATAATCTTTTCCCCCCCCATCTACTCTCCAGTAGAGGGTAAAACGGACATACTTGTCCAGAATGGTACAGTTTGGCAATATTTTGGTTTCCGGTCAAACAAATTAGGAGAACTACTATGCAGGTGTGAAGTGCTGTGTATCATCTGTGCAGAATATAATTGTTATTTTACATTAAGTAATATTGGAATTTAGTCCCATTCATAATTATATGGCAAGTATATTACCATCAGGAAGAATGCAAGCTATAGGGTAATGTTCACATGAGATACTTTATAACTGAATTTGGATCACGATGATGACATTTATCATTATAATTCTGAGGACGATAATTAATTGTCTACATTACATTATTATACAAGCTTGTGATAATAGGCTTTAAAACTGCTTAAGAGTCAACAGGCAGCTCAGTGTTTTTAAAGATATCATATAGGCTTAGATTAGTACTGTTCTGATTTCAGCGTGTGCAGATCTACATTTTCAGGTGTTGTCTTACTTGGCTAATGCAGTGAAGTAGTTGGACATAGATTTTGTTGCTGTTGTTTGTTTTGTTTTTTGCTCCATCACATTAGATTTTTAATGAAATAATGGCTATGAGATTAAAGTCAAGGATATTTGCATCTATATTGGATGAACCATCTAGAAAGCATGACCATTTTTATGCAGTCTCCCTGTTTCAGAGCATCATGAGTAATTGGACAGTTGGCTGCTCAGTGGGTTCTTGGCCAGCTGTGTGCTGTTGCATAATTAGCTAGTCAAGAGCTAACAAAAGGTCTTGATTTGATTCTAGATGAGGCCCTTGCATCTGGAGTCTGTTGTCGTTTGTTTCTCAACATGATCACCAAAGCTTTGTCAGTACCAGTAAAGCAAACCATTGTGAGGCTGAAAATCAGAATGAATCAATCAAACACAACCAAAACATGAGGTATCAAAATCAACTGTTTGATGCATTGTTAAATTTGAGGTGGGTGAAATGGCAAAAATAAAATGACTGTATGCAAAAGTTTGAACAACCCTACATGTTTTGTTGATTTGTTAATAAGTTAACTTGAGCTCAACGGGGAGCGTTTAATTGATTATAGAATTTCTCTGTTTATTTTAGTCATCAGCTTCTATTTATTTAACAAATTGGGGAAAATATATATAAAATAAAACTTTTGCACATTTTTAATTTTTTCCTACTATTTTAAAGTCCGCAAATAAGCAGAAGTTGTGCAATAAAATGTTCAGAAGTGTGTTCTCTTCTGCATGCGTTTTCATCTTATTTTCGATCAGAAAGATCAACAAAACATGCAGTTTGTCCAGGGGTTTAAACTTTTGCATACAACTGTAATATCAAGGTACTAAAGATACTAACAATATTTTCATGATGCATAATATACATCATGATATTTAGTTTTTCTGAGATCCAAAACTATGAATATAGTGATTTTTTTTTTTTTCCAGCATTTTGCTCACGGCGTTGTAATAAATCCAGTTAAGCACGGCTAATGAATATGACGTAATATAACATTTATCACTTTAAAGACAAATATCATTTTGCCCAGACATGCATTCTACATCTATGAAAAATGGACAGTGTGTGTTGTATTACGTGGTGTGGGGGTTCAGGCTTCAATTACTTGTTGACTACGTTAACCTTGTTGCTTCAGTGAAAAACTCAAGAAGCAAACTTCTGGCACCAAACATGTTTTAGCTGATTATGTTGAAGAGAAAGGAAATTAGTGTAATTTTTTCACTGAACTGTGGATTTCAGAAGGAAAAACGGTTTGTTGAGCTTAGCAGCAGCAAACATTCACGTTTCAGTCATGAAAACAAGCTGAACAAATCCACTATCCAGGATTCATGCATGGATCTGTCAAACACTACCATAAAAGATAGAAAACACCAGCATGTAAAACACTGGTAAATCTCAAGAATAGAAAAACAGTAACCAGGTTACAGGATACGTTCTGATGTGCGTAGAAGATCATAATGAGTGTGTTTAACTTCACCTTGCAGCATACGAATGATTTAAAAACATATTGTGGTGAAGTTTTTTTTTGACGCAAAAGTGGAATGCCCTTGATTGGTTAAGTTATTGACCTGAACTGAACCTTACCAAGCATTTCAGTTACTGAAGGAAAGACTCAAGGCAAAACCCACCAAAGCCAAACAACTGAAAAAGGCTGTTTGACAGGCTTTGCACAGCATCAGAAGAGATGATGCACGTCCTGTAAAGATATCCGTCTGTCAGACCTCTGGCAGTGATTAATTGCAACGCTTTGCAACCGGTTACTTAAAATGATCATTTAGAGTTGAGTTTCACTGATGTTTCAAAGTTCTTTCATAATTAGCTTGCTATAATATAGACGTAGTCATTCAGTGTGGTTTGAAGCTAAATGCTCCGTTGTAGAGAACTTACAGAGAACTCTTCACAGTAGTGGTGATCGGATGAGCCATGAAATGATTACATATGTATTGCCTGTTATCTTTGACATTGTTCTGTAATAGTTTTCTGATAACATTTTGGCCTAAAATTAGATTTTATCTTTTCATGGTAGAGATGCACATACTGGCTCTTTATATAGGAAAGAAGTATCTGAAAAAAAGTTTTTAAATTTAAATTTGCCACTATTTTCAGCACTTTGCCACTGTTATAAACATTACATATAAAAACTCACACACGTTGGTTAACTGGTTGCTTTGGTCAGTATTATCAAATTATCTTGATTGTTGCAGCCTTAATAAATTAATAATATTAATATAATATTAATATAATATTAGTTAATTATATACATTTTGGAGAACTGTTAATTTAAATGCACCAAAAAGCGTTCAATTTCTTAAACATAACTTTTTTGTCTACTACACAGCTGTTTTGGTAATTGTGTGTTTTCTGTGTGCATCTTAACATGGAGGGCGTATTAGACTCTGGAGTGGTGGGAGTGTGTGCCTGTGTCTGTGCATCTGTTAATTTAAATGAGTATGTTGATAAGG